ATATTCAACCAAATATGTGCCCATAATCAACTTAAGCTGTCCTGATTACTAGATTAAACTTGACTGATTAAAAACATCACTGATTAAAATGTACCTTCTCAGTGAATCAGCAATGATTAATGTGGAAATCTGCATGATGATCATCTTTCAAACTCTCCTACTGGTCTCTCTTACAGTAAGAAACAGGGCCAGACGGACAGACCCACTTACACTCATATGGAAAAGTTTGTGTGACCCTGATCAAACTGCATGTTTTGAAAATAAGTTAACACATTCTGTACAACTTAAATGCGGCATTTATTTCCAATTTTTGTAAGTTTGTTGATTTTAACAAGAAACATGAAATATAAACCTTTGCACAGGCCACATATTATGTTTATTGTTTTCCCAATAATATAATTCCGCAAATAAACTGTAATAATGCATTAAAATATGTAGAAGTGTGTTCTCTGTAAAGGACGTGATTCCTTTTTTTCCTTTGAGAATCAACTAAGCATGTAATTTGACCTGAGGTGCACAAACCTTTGCATACAACTGTAAGTGATGGTATCTATCAGGTTGTTTTGCATACAACTGTATGTGCATTTTTAGGGCTGTCAACAGTAATGTGTTAATAGTACATTAACAAAATAAATTATTAATGCCACAATCTTTTTTTACACTGTAAATAGCACATAGCTATTCTGCCTCTCCCTCTGTCTGAGACATCCTGTTTCTGCTGACAGGGCAGATGGTGCTCAGTTCCGCCCCAGCTGCAGTAACTATGGCGCACCCGACCACACTCTTTGCATCAGTTCATTTAGGTCTCTGTAGGGTTCCTTGTTTGCCAACAACAGAAATGAGCTATATGCGACAGAGCACAAAACTGATGACTACTCTTCTTCACAGCGACCGTTACGCTGTAGCCCATTTGATCAGCGCTGCCGAACAGGATGGTAGCAACAGCATTACAGAGTAAAGCAAGTTAGAATACAGAAGCTATGTGCGGTCATGCTGGACAGCTGCATGTTTGTGTGGGGATGAAAGTGCACATCTCAGGCCAAGATGCACAACAAAGTGATGCAGAGTTACAAACAGAGAGACTTAGCAGAAGGCTAGCCATGTGAACTCAGGCTGAAGTAAACACGCCTAAATGATGAAGCTCTGAATCTGAAAGAGCAGTCATCCTGGACCCTGAAGGTGAAAGCCAGCCATCATGCCGTCCTAATAAATACTGCAAGGATAAGCGTGTGTGTGCTTGTGGGTATGTGTGTGTGCATGTGTGTGTGCGTGTGTGTACTAGCTGTGGGTGATGCGACAATATGACATCGTTATCATGATAAATTACATCATGGTAAGCTTTTATGAGCATATTGTGGATATTGTGTGAACTACAAGCTCACAAATCAATGACATGATTAATTAAAATGAGACTCCTGAATGGAATCGACATCTAAGGTCTTCACTGCTCTAAGAATAATCCTGGTAGTCCATTATAACATAATTATTTCTGTTTAATCTGATGGAGTGATGTGCTATACAAGAAACCCAGAAGGAAAAAAAGTACTACAGGTAGCATTTTTAGCATGTGCCACCACTGTGGTAAATCATGTCTATTCCAACGTATCAAAGCACAGAAAAATGAAATATTGTGACATGTATTGTGTATTGTGAAAATTAGGGATGGACCGATATGGTAATTCTGGGACCAATGCCAATATTCAATATATTTCACATACATGTGCCCATGCTGATACATACACAATTAGGAAATGTAGAAATTGGGACTACACCTACCAGGATAAATAGAACATTTATTTCTATAGGGTTACAAATGTACTAAAATGAATAAACTGCAGATATTTTAGTGCAGTAACCCATAGTCACCTAAACACTCTGCTCTTCTGGAGGACAATGGATACATCACCAAATATCTGTTTAAAATGTCAGTCAAATCTAAACAGTGCTGATTATTTTTTAAGCAATTATCTGCCGGTACTGATATGATGTGATATAATCGTGCATCTCCGGTAAAAAAAAAGTCTTCTGGTTTTGCGATTAGGACATTTAAATAACAACAATAATTTCGCTTCAGGAAACAACTACTTCAACATCTCAATTCTCACATTCCAACACCAAAATAATGTTTCTAATCAGTTTTAATCAGTTTTTTAATTGTTAACTCCACTCCTTTTATATAAGCTGTTTTTCTCTCATTCTTACTTGCAAGAATGTATCTTGGTTCTTCATCCACGAACATGCCAGAAATCATGTGAGACATGAAATGAAGATATCTGGGAATTCATTTCAAGGTAAGACATAACTAAGCTTGTTCAGTTCAACCTAAATAAATAAATTCACATTTCAGTTTCTGTTTTAGAACAGTTTTGTTTTTATTTTCTAGCAAAATTCAGCTTGTTTCCATTTTTTGTTCCTTATACTGGTTCAGAGGCTTGATTGTGATGCTCAGTGGTGTAGTGTCTGGATAGGTGGGTACACTTTCTCATGGACCCCAACTTTAGCATGGCCTTTGGTACCCCCAACACGTGCATTCCTACACACACCATTAACACATACCATTTCCCCCTATTATCTATAATGTTTACATATTACATCAACGTATTAAAAAGGTAATGAGAACATTTCCATTTTCCAGGGTAAGGAAGAGAGAATAAAATTCATATAAATCTCAAAACTGATTTGTCAGACTTGGACGTGGCTGTTGGAGCTAATATCACTGTTACTTCATAAATTCAAATAACATGCTTCGATATGTTCATTTAATTCCTGTACTACTGTCATGTAGAGCAAGCACAAAATAAACAGACACAAATGTACACCATGTTGAGGTGTTTATACAGTAAATCAGTCTCTTTAGAAGTAAGTATATGCTGTACACCTGCACATACGCTCCACTACACTAGCAGTGATGTTATTAGGTACAGACATTTTTGTCAGATTTTCCACTCCTAGTGTTCATGCGTATCTTCATAGCTTTACACTACTGACTTCTGCTCTCAGCCATGGCCAGCAGACGCTCCACTCCACACCCCCAACCCCGCACTGCTCATAAGGGCTTGAGTGAGTGCCAGCAAAACATGGTGCGGCAGAAAAACAACAAACACACACACAGACACTTGCTGACAAACACGGACACACACACACGCCACCTCTCTCTGTCTCATATGTCCTCTTCCATACACACACACGCGCTGTGCAGACGCAGAGCCAAAGTGACAGAAAATGAGTACACGCCCACACACTCTGCAGTATAAATATAGCCGCAGCAATTGAGGGCCAGTACAGCACTCAGGAGAAGCACGCACATGCATCACGTCCACTGCGGAGCAACAGAGTGCTGGATTTAACGAAGGGCAAGCTTCAGCTTCATTGATCAAAAGCAGCAAGCAGGCAACGTCACCAAACACTACAGGATCAGACAGGAAACTCCTCCAGCATCGGAATATTACACAACAAAACAGACACACAGAAAACCTGAAAAACAAACCACTGTGCATGTTTTTAAGCACAGACTTAGTCATCATGTCTTCTTTCTGTTATTGTCAAAAAAACAAAAACAAAAAAAAAACTACATCCTCCCTCCTTTAAGTGGCCTACATCATGAAAAGACAACATTTCCTGGATATTTCTCATGTAAAAAAGTTTGATCTGCTATGTAAACAAGTTTTAAAAAGTTACTCCTCATGTGGTAGAGAGAGGAAAAATAATTGATTCTTAGATAATGATTCAGAATCAATTCACAAAACAATGTAATCAGCCAGAGACTAGAACGTAGAATATTTTAGTAAAGCTCAGCTTGGAGGAGTCAGAACAACACAGTATCTCTCTGATGCAAACGTTTGCAGTCACAAACTGGTCAAAATTTCCCTGTCTATAAAATTAAAAATTTTAAACCATGAGAAACATGTCCTCATGTAAGAGCATGTATTTGTTTAACAAACCACTTCAGCAACCTGCAAACAGGCTAACAGACTAATCCAGAAGTTTAAAGTTAAAGTTTAAGAATTTACTAATTAACTGCAAAACTGCACCATACAAAATAAAAAATCTTACTTGAATATCCTTTACCAGCTTCAAATGTCCATATTTAGGCTAGAACGGCTATATTTAGCATTAAACCCAGCCTAGATGAGAAAAATGCAAGATGCATAAATTTATTTGTGAGAATCTCTTCATAAGCAAGTCTCGGCATCCTGAATAAAAATCAAACTGTAAGATGCCAAGAGATTCCCACCCCTATAATGCAGTTACTAAGCTACAAAAACAGCCAGTTTTGTATTCATCATGGTTGTGATGTCACACATTTACAAATAACTGCCTGTTCGGCTAACATCAGTTTAATCCTCATCACTGTATTGCATTGCATTGAAAAGATCCAGATATTTGAAATGTCCATTTTTCAACATCCCTGAGGATTTGCGTTTACAAACTAAAGCAGCCAGTCAGAACAGAGGTGGTTTACATATATCAATGTCTTAAAGACACAGTAACAAAGTAAAATAAACTGTTTCTTTAATAAGAGATAAAAAAGTTTGATAGGATCAAAACAGCAATGATAATCCCACAAACAAGAAAAACATGAAATATGGGCCCTTGAAGACTGACCCACAGTGATGTTAGTGAACTGCTGAGTTACCCTGATATGCCTGGCACGCCTCTGAGCATGGTTCACTGGTTAGGGCTGGAGGCAACATCAAAGTTATATTTCATCACATCACTTTCATAGTCCTAATGTGCCACAGTGTAATTCTCTCTCTCTCTCCCTCTCTCTCTGTCTGTCTGTCTCAGGCATGCTGGAGGACTAGACAGGACACACAAGAGCTGGAGGACGTGTTCAGTGCAGGATGCTGAAGGCACGAGAGAGGAACAATCTTACTTCAGTTCACTTGCTAGCGGCAAAGTAACAGAAGGACATGAAGGAGGTATGAGGTATGAGTGATGACTGGGGACCTGTCACTGACCACAGACATATAAAATGATTTATTTCATCAAACACTTACGTCCCCAAGACCTCCTTGAAATCGTATTTTTCTTTGATATCAGTAGTCTTCTTTTTCCATCCATTTCCATCCTCTAAGGGCATTGTACAGTTGGGCTGGTGCACCACTGGGGAGCTGCAGGAAGAAGAGGGACAGCCCAGAGGTTTACACAGACAGACAGTGAGGAGGAGGGAGGGAGGGAGAGAGGGAGGGAGAGAAGCACAAAGATATACAGACAAGCATTCACTTATTACATTTAGGGATGGACAATGATATCTGAATCATTATTGGTATTGACAGATACAGTCGTGTGCAAAATTTTGAAAATTACATGCTTTGTTGACTTCTTCTGAGTGAAAACAAGTGGACACCTACTCTACAGGGAACGCATTTAAATATGGATTTTTTGCTAATGTTTTGTGCATAGCTCCTGTTTATTTGCTGAGTTTTACATATTGCAAAAAAAATAAAACATAAAATATTAAATGTTCCATAACTTTTGCGCAGGCCGCATTTCAGGTGTTTTTTCAGTACAGTAATTGTACACTAAAATGTGCAGAAGTGTGTTTTCTGTAAAGGATGTGTTATTTAACCAGGGGCACCAAAACCATCACAGACACCTGTATTGGCTTGAAAAAAGCTACTGGCATTCAACAGATATTTAGACTTTATCAGTATTTTAAACTGATTTATGATTACACATTTATTTTACTCTGGAAAAGCAGGACTTGGGTTAATGCACTAAAATATCTTTTTCATATATATTTCATATGTATGTCATATATCTTTCAAACTTTTTTATATATTTCATATAACTTTTTTTCATTTAACTACATCTGTAATCAGATACAAATCAATGTTATATTTCTTTACAATGCTAATCCAGATGGATCTAGTCCCAATTTCTAAATCGTAGAAATGTTTGTGTATTGTCTATATATTTTTTCCAGCATCAATGTCTGTATCGGCAAATATGTACATGAAAGACATTGGACAGTCTAGTCTGGTTTGGCTCTATCACTGCTGGAACTGCTAGAGACACAACCTTAAGCTAGATAAACACGTGCCTTATTTAATTACTTATAATTTTCATTTTCGAGATAATTCAAGCATAAAAGTTAATATATGCCTTATCTGTGAGTAGTAAAACATCAACTGATACAGCTCTGCAATTGTGCATTCTAACATGGAGGATGACAAATTCTATGGAAATTTATATTATTACTTTTGTTTTGTTGCTATGCAGTTTGGCCACCTAAAGCAATTTTGCCCCAATTAGCATGTGTGTTGCTTGTTTCAGCACAAAAACATCGACTCATTCCTTTCTACTATTGGTAAGTATTTTATTATTAATTATGTAGCCTCCCTCTTGTGGCTGCGGGTGGCTATGAAAGCTTGGGAGGCGAGGCCATGAGAAGGGCAATGTAAGGAGGATAATGGGAGGTGCACACCCTCCAAAACTGGACTTACTGTGTTGTTTAATGTTGTTAATGCCGTTGTTCTTTAGTTTAAGATATGTTTACGTATTACCTGTGTTATTTTGTATAAGGCAGTTTGTAGTTGTGTTGAGTGTCTATGTGAAGCAGAGATGTATGGGTGACGACCTCAATGCTATTTATGATGTGTTATTATGTGCCTTTCTCTCTGGTGTTTAATAAAAGAGCACTTCTCGCTGCAGAATCATGGTCTCCTCTGTGTCTTACTCTACGCTGACACCACAATATTAAGGGTGGCTGATATGACAAAATTATAACATAATGTATTCAAACAAGGGCTTCAGCAGCCACATTAGAGCACATGCTAGTTTGATTCAGGTTCATCCTAATTAATAACTCCACATCTGCAATGGGGTCTTTATGGAAGCCCCACCACTGGAAGAAATATTTAGCTATTTAGTTAGCTACAATAATGAGAAAGCTTACATAATTATGACTAATAATTATCACTTGGCATTTCATAGTTATGACTTACTTTCTTTTAAATTAGGACATGTTCAGTGCACGATGATGAAGGCATGAGAGAGGAACAATCTTATTTCAGTTTACTTGTTAGCGGCAAAGTAACAGAAGAACATTTTAAGTTAGTATCTCATAATGAGATTCAATCTCAGAATTATGACCTAATATCTCATAGGTATGACCCAGCATCTCATAATTATGACATGATATCTCATAATTATGACATGATATCTCATAATTATGACTTACCATCTCATAATGATGGGTGTCAAAATTATGACTTAGCATCTCATAAGTATGACTTGCAACTTAATATCTCATAATTATCACTTACTTTCTCATAATTATGACCTAATAATTATTACTAACTGGATGGGCCAAACCTTTAGCAGGATAAAGATAAAACAGATTATTTTATTTGGGTATAGCAATGAGAGGCACAGACTAGCTGCCTATCTGCACTCGAGGGCCCTAAAGTCTAAAGAACTAGCAAGAAAGACAATCAAACAGCTTCAGCTGATTCAAAATGCAGCTGCCAGAATCTCACTAGGAGTAAAAGAAGGGAACACATCACCCCCATTCTTAAATCCTTACACTGGCTACCAGTCTCTTACAGAATAGACTCTAAGGTACTATTACTGGTCTATAAATCATTTAATGGTGTCGGACGAGCATATTTATCTGATATGCTGCAGTGATATTAGCCAAGCAGAACTCTCAGATCATTAGAAACTAGCCAGTAAGTCCTGCTTAAGGTAAAGACTAAACATGGAGAAGCAGCGTTTAGTTACTATGCTGCTCCTAAACCAGTTGACAGCGAGAAGAGCATCGACACCAGACACTTTTAAATCAGGGCTGGAAACGTTCCTATCTGAGCAGATTTCAGCTCAGTTTAAAACACTGTTAGCTCTACTGCACTCTTCTCCTGTAACGGCAATTTATTAGTCTTATTTCATTTTTATTTTGATTTTTAATTATTTTTCTCTTTTAAAATGTATTGCTTTTGTCATGTTTTAATCATGTTTTTACTTTCTATTCTATTCTATTTAAATTATAATTTGAATTATATTTGTATTTCATCATTTGTAAAGCAAATTTGACTTAGTATCTCATAATTATAACTTAAATTCCCATAACTATCACTTACTATGACATACTTTTGACTTACTATCTCATAATTATGATTTTTTTATCACAATTATGCCTTAAATTCCCATAATGACCTACATTCCCACGATTATGACTTACTACCTCATGATTTTGACTTACTATCTCATAATTTTGACTTTCTCACAGTTATGATCTAAATTCCCATAATTATGACTTACATTCCCATAATTATGACTTACTACCTCATGATTTTGACTTACTATCTCATTATTATGACTTCCTCATAATTATGACTTAAATTCCCATAATTTTGACATAGTATCTCATAATAATGACTTTCTCACAATTCTGACTTAAATTCCTATAATTATGACTTACTTTATCATAATTGTAACGTACTATCACATAATTATGACTTTCTTCCTCATAATTTGGACTTACTTTCTCATACTTATAGAAAACATTCTCCTTATTATTATATACTAAATATCTGTTCATTTTTTCCGTGGTGGCGTAAACGGGGCTCCCATAGGTCGGCTATCTATTAGCATGAATTAAAATCAGAAAGGCTTCTGGTTACCAGCACTGTCCCTCTAGCGTATTACAGCAAATGTGTGTGGGAGTCCCTGCCCTGACCACTGCAGCCAAGCCAAGGAGATGCTTCATCTGCACGCATGCGGCCATCCACTTACACATGGCGCTCAATGAATGGCAGCGAAGGACGAAGTAATAAAAGCTACTGTAAACCAACGATTCTCAGACTGTTTCAGTGATTCTGTGCTTATTGAGTCGACGGCGCTGAATCCTGCTTGACTTTCACCCCCTTCCATCCTGTCACAGATGTGCCGGACAATGCGGCAGAATCAGCGGTTCACAACTGTAGCTGTGCATGTGCAGAATGTGGCTGCTGGTTATCGCGCTATCAGGGGCTCAGCGATGCGCGCTCGGCGGTGCACGGAACAACACGACAGCATCAGATTTAGAAAATCCGTCCATTTTAACCCGCTGTGCTCTCAGAGTGGTGGTGTGTAGGGTAGATGATGGCCTACCTGTTCGCCTGCTCTCGGAGCTGAATGGTCACAGTCTTCCTCGCTGCTGCTGCTGCTGCTCTGCTTGTGGTGCTCTGTTTCTGCCGGACCTGCCCGTGACGTCAGAGAGGCTCCGCATCCTACAGCAGAGAGATTGAGAAAGGGAGAGAGAGAGAGAGAGAGAGAGAGAGAGAGAGAGAGAGAGAGAGAGAGAGAGAGAGAGAGCGCGAGTTGGGGCAGTTGTGGACAAACAATCCGGAATCCTAAATCTCAAGAAGCATATTTGCATTCTCATCTTTTAACATAATCAAACAAGTTTTACATGATTTATATAAAAACAAAGAACAGAAAGACTTTTTTTGGAAAAGTGACATATTTTAACAACTGGAAAGCTCCAAGAAGGACTAATAAAAACATTTAAACTGTAAACCACTGCAAATAAAATACATTTTATTCACTTTAAGGGTAATTCCACCACTTTTTGAAAACATCTGCATTACTCGATCATTAAGATGTAAATAAAGCCATTCAGAGCGGTCTGATGAGAAATAGTAAAGCAAATTAAGCAAGTCAGAAGTGTACACAGTGGTGGTGATAGGAACCTGATGTCTTGCTGATGCCCATGACATTCTTGACATCAGTTTTAAAACGTATTTGTTAAACACAATAATGGCGGAGACGTACATGTACGGTGCTATAAGTCTAAATAGTTTCCAAAGAAAATGCATATTTTCAGATTCATCACTATTTTATCACTGTCAACATTACATGTAAGAACTCTTAAGATGTCTAATGTTCACTGTTCATTTTGAATAGCAAATAAAATGGCAATATTGTCACTACAGACATTGCAGTCCTTAGTTACTATCACCCCCACTGTAAAGAAATCTGAGTTGTTTAAGTTTATCCAGAACGGAGCATTTTGCATGAAATCGCCCTGAATTACTTTGTTTACATCTTAAAGCTTAAAGCTTGGGCTGTCAAACAGCTGACAAAAATAGTCCACTAAGATTCAGTCAGTCTACTAATCACATATTTTTTGTTATTTATGTGTTTAATTATTTCTTTATTTCACAAAGTTTCTGTTTATTGAAGTCTGAATCGTGTAGCTATTGAGTCTGTTTAAGTTTAATGGTTTTTTTTATCATGAGTCATTTTTTTTTGCATCAGTCATATACTGAAGAGCAAAACAGATTCAGCATAAAAAAAGAAATGCTGAAACTTTAAAATGTTCAAAGACGATTTTAAGAAGGTGGAATGTAAATCATGCAAATGCTATTTTATTTACTGTACAATGTTGAATACAATGCAAGTCTACCACCAAAAACGTGTAAGTGTGCTAGACATTTTCATGCTAAACTGCGGCTGGCCGTGTTAAGAGTGTAATAAAAATGTCATCAACCTAATACACCACTGTTAAAATCACTTGTCTTATGAATAATTGATGTTTTATTTTAATATTTTATCTATGGTTATCAATAATAACTTAATAACTTAATTCATAACAATGATAACTAATACAGTGTAGATCAAAACACTATAAGCTAGACACCAGAAGGTATTTTAAGATGTGTTTTTTAACATTTCAAATTTTTGGGAACAACAAGAAGTTAATAAATTTTACAAAATATACTGAAATTATCTATTTACAGTCATTTCTTGATATCTACCTGAGATTTGATCACTACTTTTCAAATCTAGATATTAACAGTATTATAACTTCACACAAATAATGAATCAAAAAAATGAAATCTCATTGATTACGTGTTAGAAACATAATACAGATTTGACTGATTTCAACATTGAACCTTCCCCGTGTGAGGTAGGATTAGCATGTGTGTAAGGTTTAGCTAGGAAAGCGCGCCCTTTACGCCTATCGTGTAAATACTGCTAATATTAAAAACACACAGAACGGGACGTTTGTATATGAAACTATTATAAAAATAAACCAGGACAAATTAGAACTTTGTACAAACTCGAGTTGTGAAAGGAAGAAAAAAAAATAGAAACAGACTTTTAACATACCGCTCTTCCGGCGTCGGTTACCAAAGGGGCGGGACTTGAAGCCAACGTTTAACGTTAGCTCGCTGGCTAACATTTGTAGTTGGTGCGCTGTTAATGGTGGATAATTCTCAATAGCTTCAAGAAAGCCACATATTTTATACGGGTGAGTGGCCGTATATGTGGACATTTCTTTCTACGATATTGGTTCGCGATATAGGCAGCGAATCGCGCTACTCAGCCCAGCCGGTCAGACCCGCTGATGTAGTCGGGAGTTTGTGTGTAGTTGCTGCTCAGAGCGCTCTTTTGTTTGAGCCGCGACAGTACAAATGTGAGGATTGGCTGACTGGTATGATTGCTTACCGGAAGATTAGCTGTTTGGCTGACAATGCTTAACAACTGATAAACTAGAAAGTTACAAAACATTAAAAATCAGTTTGGTAGTCTTAGTTTGACAGTAATGTTGCTTATGTTTTGGCTTGTAGCTACTTATGTGTGCCTGACTGGCTGCACAGGAACCTTATACCTTAGCCAGCATTGCTAGCTAACTTTAGTTCTAAGATTTATTTGTGTTCAGTCGGTTAGATAGATTAATGTGACCATGGCAAACGACAGCTAGGTTAGTGTTACTACACTGTGATGAACAGCGATAACTAGTTTGTGGAGAACAGAGAACCGGTTTGTATCTTAAGCCAGAGTGCTAGCTAACAGCACCGTAAGCCAGCCGGCTGTGCCACCCGTGTCTGCACGTCTGGAATCAATGAGTTTTTTGTTTTGATTGCTGTTTGATGATGGTAAAATGTAGAGATGGGCGATATGGCAAAATGTAATATTTGCTACGATACTTCAGCATGTTTTGACGATACGTGATGTCACGATATTTATTTTTTCTGACATCTGATAAGTTAGAACAGACAAAGCAGTGCAACATCTTAAAATTTCTATCAAAATCTATGAATTCGATTACTTTATTGCACATTTTACACACTGTGCTGCACTAAATCAATTAAACAGGACTAATTATGCTCTTTTTAATCAAACATGCTATTGGAAAGTGATTTACTTTCCACGATATGCTCAGAAAAGCATTCTGTGACATATTGTGATGTAATTAATCACAATAACGATCAATAATGTTATATTGCTCAACTCTAGTAAAATGTACCTCAGTTCAACTGCAAAAGTGATGTTATTTTAGCTCTGACGAAAGGTAATATTAATATTCTTTAACAGTGTAAACGAATAGGTGCTGGGGGAAGTTTAAGCATCTTTGCCTATAAGGGTTGTTTTGTATATGGGATTTTTCAGGTAATCACTTTTCTTATGGGCTCCAAGAGACGACGCACCACCTCTCCCTCCAGTAGTGTGAGTGGAGACTTCGATGATTCCACTACATCCACTCCCGCCAGTGGCTGGAAAAGGAGAAGGAGGACTTCTAATGTCACTGCCGTAGATCAAGTGAGTTTGCCCAGCTTATTCGCCTGGTTGTTCCATTAAAATAAGGATTGATTTGTTTGAACCATGTTCACTGTTTGCTGATATCGTGACTGCGGTAAATATATATTGCACTTACTCATCTTGTTTTTTTCTTTAGATTGCCATTTGCCATGAGCTGTACAACACTGTCAGGGACTATAAAGATGAGCAGGGGAGGCAGATATGTGAGCTCTTTGTTCGTGCTCCAAAAAGGAGGTAAATGTTAACTAATGCCTCTTAATTCCTAGGCAAATAAAGTTAACAGTCTGATGAAATTAACTGTTGAATTGTCCTCAACAAAGTCTTCCTATAATGCCTGTATGTGCAATTTAGGAACCAGCCGGATTACTATGAGGTGGTGAGCCAGCCCATTGACATGTTGAAGATTCAGCAGAAGCTCAGGGCAGAAGAGTATCAGGATGCGGAGCAGTTTTCTGCAGACTTCAAGCTGCTTATTAACAATTCCAAAGCTTACTATTCGGTAACAGTGACTTTAAGCCATTTATGGATCATACACTGTTCTGTTGTCACATAGGGCATCTCAGTGGAGGCAGACCAGTACATTAATTTCTACTCGAATTCCACTTTGACTCTATAGTAATTCGTACCATGGAACGATTAGAATTGCAGAATTGATTTGAATTCTCTGTTATTAATCATTAAGTGTTCCTAGAATGCTGATACAGTTTTCAGTAGTATCTCAATGCTGTAGATAGATTGAAACATTCTCCACATGAAATATAGTCACACTTTAGTTTTTTCCATCTCTCTTGTTTGTAGTAGCAATAAGGTAGTGACACGTTTTCAGCAAGACTGATTGTGTGTGTGTGCGTTCCTCCTAGGCTGACAGCCCAGAGTACAAGGCTGCCTGTAAGCTGTGGGATGTGTTTTTAGACACCAAGAGAAGTCTTCTGCGTGGAGGAGATGGAGAGGAGGCAGATGAAGAAGAGGAGGATGAGGGCGAAGACCCTGACAATGCTGGAGTCTCCACAGAGGAAGAGGTAAAAATTCCCTCTTATCTTGTTACTAGTGTGTGTAAAGCCTCTTTCACAATTAAAACCCGGGGCATTGTGGATATGCTTTTCCCTGGCTTTGTGTCATTCATCAACTGTATGTTTCCAGGATGCAAGCGTTTGTACATGCTGATCCTAAACAGGAGATGAGGTTCTCGGTATGAATCGGCAACAGCTCAATTATTTCTGAATCTTATTCAACACTTCTGTGACTTTTTGTTTTCTCGCAAAGACTGTATGTAAAAACACAAACATTCAGCTTTGCTGGCTGTGATCCATGCATCTCTGTATTTGCAGATAATATATCAGCTTCTATTCACACAGAGCCCTCCCAATAATTTCCCAAGTATTATACTTGGTCATTTGCAGGTATAATGCCATGCTGACTATACCAGGATTTTGACTTCGGCTTGTGTTCACACTTAACCTCTCTTTAATTATCATTAGATTCCTGGTTAAAAGTGCATGTGTGAAAGGGGCTTATGAATTCTCTACAGTGTCTAATGAATAGAATAAAAGATTCGGGTAAAATATTTATATATATATGTATATATGTGTGTGTGTGTGTGTGTGTGTGTGTCAGTCAGTTGGATTACAATATTTCCCTCATTTCTCTCTTTGAATATCAGCCATCACCCAACTATCTGAAAGGAGTTTTAGAACAGCTCTTAGAGGCTCTTGTTTCTTACACT